TATGAGTCAGTCTGTGATTGTATGGTTTAGTCTGTGTGTGTGTGTGTGTTGGTCAGTGTGTATGGGTCAGTTGGTGTTTAAGGGTTAGTCTGTGCTTGTGTATGGGTCAGTCTGTGTTTGTGTATATGCTTGTATGTGTGCATGGGCCAGTCTGTGGATGTGTGTGTATGGGTCAGTATGTTTGTCATGCTGGGACTGGCTGCTGGAGCAATGAGGATTTCCAGAAGAGTATTCTTACAGGAAATGCTCAAACATTTCCATGTTTCCATTTAGGACCATTATAACTAATGATTAGGCATAGGTTTAGAGCACCTATTCCATATTCAGGTTCTAAAACTAAAAACAAACAAACATTATAGACACTTTACTGGATAGTAAGATCTTCAAAAGGCTACCAGTCAATGTTTTGTCTGGCATATCCTTACATTAGGAGTAAAACAATGTCAGTGAGCATGTTGACATGGGTCAGTCTGTGTATCAGTGAGTGCTTGTTCGTTTGGGTCAGTGTTACGGTCAGTGTGTTTCTATATGTGTCACACTCTATGTGTGTCAGCAAGTATTTGTGTTTGCATATATTGTTCAGCCTGTGTGGGTCAAAATGTTGTGTTTGTGCATGGGTTAATGTGCGCCTTTATGAGTCAGTGTGTGTGTTTCATTGGGTGAGAGTATGTGTTCTCTAAAGAATTATTTTGAGGCATATATAAAGATAACTAGTGTTACTAAAATATGTCATTTGCAGAGCAATTTGACCCTGGAATCAGTGTCCGTGGAATTTGTTCCACATGTTGGCAGCTGTGGTAATCTGTGGCAATGCTATGACATGAAGTGTAAGTGCAGGAGTTCCAAGAAAGAAACCTCTCATATTGAAACTTCCCCTGCTTCCGATGGATAGACAGCCCTGTGGACTACCAGGGATCTGAATGATCCCACTCCCTGCAAAGTAAGAACTAGGGGGCACATCAATGTTTTTTTATAATTATTAAAATAAAAATACTAAAAGCTACAGGACACACTCATAGATAGTACACCCCCTACACAGTGTACTCCCACATGCTGTGCGCAACCATACATACTTCATCCCCATACACAAGCACACTTCACCCATATACACAGACATAACTACTCCTTGATACATACACACAATGCAACCCCATATAGACATACACTCACACACTACAGCCCCTAAATACACATGCATACACTCTACTGGCCCTATACACATACACACACACTACAGTCCATGTCAGCACATGCACAGACCTCTTTACACCCTTATTGGGACACCAAAGACAGATCAGCAAAAGCAGTACAAACATGTAAAAAAAAACTTATCCAACAATTTACCATCAGTCTTGGGATGGTGGAAAACTTGGGTAAGCTCCCACATTTTTTTTTCCCCAGGACTTGACCCCTGGTTAAAATTGAAATCCAACAATTGATTGGATTTTTTTAAATCACAAAAACAAAGATATGGTAATGCAAAGTATGGGGTTCACAATCTAAAAATATGTTGTAAGGGTCTTTGAAAATTAATAGGAACTAAGCCATGATTGCAATTCTGCAACTGACTTTGAAGTCACAGCTGTATTCTACCAAAATCTTAGAATGTTAATACCACTTTGTAGAGCTACATATGACCAGAAAATTGCCAGCCTTTTAACATTTTGTTCAGGACCAGTATTAATATAGTGTGACTTTTTTTTTTTTTATTTTTTTTCAAATCACATGTGGAAACTACATCAAGAAATGACAAAACTCATTATAGGATGGAAGAAAGTAACCATGGACTCCTTAACATGTAGGTTTTGTGCCAATCCATGCACAATTTTATAACTTAGCAACATACATCAAACTAACAAGCTTTCAGGATTTATAGCTTTTGTTATTGCAAAGTGTCTCCAATATTAAATACAAAGTTTTGATCCTGTGGACTAAAGAGATACGCTCGGCATAACCACAACTTATTTTATTGGCTATAGTGCAAGGAGTACTTTTAATTTTTGTCAACCCATTTTTGAAAACACGACATCTATATTATCTGTTGTCAGGGCCGGCCTTAGGGGTGTGCGAGCTGTGCGACCAGGGGGCGCCCCAACAGACAACACAGCTCGCACATGGCCGGCTGACAGGGGAGCTAAAACAGGTACCTGGGTGGAGGATTAATTATTCTCCACCCGGGTTTATTAAAAAGAAAAGAAAAAAATATATATATATATCTCGGCAGTGGGGGCGGGACTTAATGAGCTGCAGGGTGCAGGGCCAATACATACCCGAACCCCCTGGTAATACCTACCCGAAGCTGCACAGAAAAAGGGAAGCAGGAAGGCGCCCCTGCTTTCCCAACAACCAACTGCATGATCTGCATCCACTACCCCTTGCAGCCATAATGGAAAGAGGTAAGTCTGTGTGTGTGTGTGTGTGACTGCCTGCCTCTGTGTTACTGTTTGCCTGTTCATGTGTCTGCCTTCGTGTGTGTGTGTGTGACTGTCTGCGTGTGTGTGTGACTGTCTACCTGCCTGTGTGTGTGTGTGTGACTGTCTGACTGCTTGCCTGTGTGTGTGTGTGTGTGTGACTGCCTGCCTGTGTGTGACTGTCTATGGGTATGTCTGCCTGCCTGTGTGTGACTGCCTACCTGTGTGTGTGACTGTCTGTTTGACTGCCTGTGTGTGTGTGTGTGTGTGTCTGCCTGTGTGTGTGTGTGTGTGTGTGTGTGTGTGTGTGTGTGACTGTCTGTTTGCCTGTGTGTGTGACTTTGTCTGTGTGTGTGACTGTCTGCCTGTGTGTGTGACTGTCTGTCTGCCTGTGTGTGACTCCAATTATGTGTGCCTGTGCCTGTATGTGTGACTATCTGCCTTTAACTGAATGAGTGTCTGCATGCCTGTAACGGAGTGTGTATGACTGTCTGCTTGTAATGGAGTATGTGTGACTGTCTGCTTGGGACTGTGTGTGTGACTGTCTGCCTGTGACTATGTGCCTGTCTGCCTTTAACTGTGTGTTTGGCTCTGTGACTGTCTGCCTGTAACTGAGCATGTGTGACTGTCTGCCTGTAACTGTGTGTGTGTGTGACTGTCTACCTGTAACTGAGCGTGTCTGATTGTCTGCTTGTGCCTGTATGTGTGACTGTTTACAGGCAACTTGGTGGGGGGAGCGGGGCGCCATGAAGACTTTTCGCACAGGGCGCCTAATGGCCTAAGGCCGGCCCTGTCTTTTGTGAATGAAGATGGTATATTTTTCATCCTCATTATCTGTTCAAATATGGACAGTAGTAATAGGCTAAAAGCTTTTGGGTGGTTTAGCCTGATGCTTGAAGCCTATCAATGCAATCTATGGCCTCGACTTATTATTTTTGAAAAAGCTTTCCAAATAATTTAATATCTTATGATAAATGTTGGAAATATGTTTTTTCCAAATATAAAGAGATCAGAAAATATAATGTATAAAAACAATATAATATTGTAAAGTGCTGCGGAATTAGTTGGCGCTATATAAATACCAATAATAATAATAATATATCAATATATCAGAAAAAAAAATATTACAATATTAGCATGTTTTCAAAATATTAAATCATTTTAAAATGTTATCCAAAAATATTACATCATTTTGAAAGCTTATCCAAAAATATTAAATTGAGTCCTGTGTTTGGACATTATTTCAGTGGCATTAGATGGGTGTGCTTTGGATGCCAGGAGGTTTTTGCTTGAAAAGCACAAATTTATTTTTTTACGTCCTGTTTGCATTTTCAAACAGCTTTTCTATAGTATAAACAGATTAAAAAGTAAATATATATTACCGTCCATTATTTTAGGCATCCGTGAAGAGCAGCCAGGCAGATAGACTGGCCTATATATAGGCATATTTTACAATTAGCTATTCAACCAAATGAAATAAAAATGTCAACAGAGAAGTATATTTTTATAAATCACTAAACATTTTGTTTGCATTTTCAAGAGTGTTATTTTTACTACAGAATTATAGATTTTAATTTCTTTGTCAAGTATGTAATTCTATGCATTCTATATAAGTATGCATTCTATGCTCTAGAGTTAACACCACAAAGTAGCTAGGATCAGGCTCCGCAACCTATGGCACGTGTAACATGTATATCCCTCAATGTGCCTTTGCACAACACTCAAGGCTGCCAGTGACAAACAGGATATGTCCTATCAGGAGTACCAGAGGGGACTGCAGAAGATGCCTCCCGCACATACAAATAATACAAACAGCCCGCACACAAACACACACACACAGTCCACCAATCCACATACATGCACACAACATCAGAAGCATCTGCTCACATGCAATACCCCAAGCATCCCACACAAACACACCAAACACACAATGTAACATATCATCCACACATTCAATTACACAAGCATCCCCATACACAGCCCACATTCTCAAGTATCATACACAATACCACAAACTACTCATGAACTTATACTGTGCAACATGACAGCCCACATATGCACAAAGACAATGCTACAAACCAACTGCAGCACCTATGAATAACATAATCAGTATACGACAGCATACACCTCAATTTTAAAAAAATAGGACTGGCACTCCTAGGGATTTCAAGATTATTATTATTATGTTATTTATATAGCGCCATCAAATTCCGCAGTGCTTTACAATGGGTGGACGAACAGACATGTATTTGTAACCAGACAAATTGGACACACAGGAACAGAGTGGTTGAGGGCCCTGCTCAATGAGCTTACATGCTAGAGGGAGTGGGGTAAAGTGATACAAGATCTTGTTTTGACACAGTGCTACTAAAGGGTTGCCTATCCCTGCACTGGGAAGTCATTAGAAAGATGTAGCAATGATGTTGAGCAGAGCAAGCTTTGCAAAGTAATCACTTTGTCTGAACACATTTGGTTATTAGAACACTCTGACCACTATAACCACTACAGTGTGCTGTTTTGGTTATGTTGCCAGGTTTTTACTGGTGCCCCCCTAATGTAAGTAGTCAAACAATTGCAGAACAATTTTACTTATTTTTTTCATGATTTAAAAGTTATTGAAAACTTTGTTGAAAGATGTCTCAGGCTGGTATATTTGAGAAGACACGTGGTCTTTAGGCACTTGGAGACAGGTCTTAATTGTGCTTTAGCAGGTTCCAATGGTGACTAGCCAAACTCTGATCAAATTCTCAGTGTATCCAGCAAACAGGGTCTGTCTATCAGCAGACCAAGCCAGAGAGGTGCATTGTGGGGGCTATACTTTACTGCTGGTGCTGATCACTTCCTGCTTCAACTCATCTACAATGATCTTACCCTCCAGGTTCCAAATCTTGATGCTGGGTGCTGTGGCTGCACAAAGTCAGTAGCGGTTAGGGCTGAAAGTCAGAGCATTGATGGTATTGCCACTGTCCAGAGTGTTTTCCCTCATTCAGATCCCACAGAATGGCTTGTCCATAACGATTTTACTTCTTACTTGGTGCTATTTCCTACCTCCACTTCAGCTACAGGAGAGTCAGAAGCTCTCATCCAGCTCTCTGCTTTCACTAAAGGGCTTATATCAGAAGATCTAAAGGAACTTCTAGGAAGCTTCCGGCTCTCCTGTAGATGTAATGGAGCAGCATTTGGCAGAACCCAGCAAAGAAGTCAGAGCACTGTAGTGGTTAAGCTGCTTGGAGTGTTATTTTAATACATTTAAAATGTGCTACCTCAGAAAATAAATATGGCTGCCATACATTCTGGCAATATTGTTTTTGGTTAATGGGTTATCACTGACACCAGTAGAAATACACAGAACCAAGGATTCCCCTGCACAGTTAAACTCTAAATGATAGAGTAGCCTTCACTTGGCTGCTCCCAATCTTAGGGCTGGACTGTAGTATCTGTGGGCACCCTGCACATGCAAGCACACTTTGCTGGCTTGTTATGACTTAACATTTTTTTATTTTTTTTTGTCACAGCAAAGCGCCTCACCCTAATTCAAACCAGATGAGTGAAATCTAGTCATACTTGGAAAGGTACCAGCTGAGCAAGACATAAGAGGGTGGGTAGACCTCGCATGTTTTAACAAATATTAAAAAAACATTTCTAAATACACTCACCCAAAAAGACTTTAAGCAGATGGTTCAGTTCATGTGCTGCATTGTTTCACACTTATTGTTATAAATGTTGCATAGGTAACTAAATTAAACACAATTTTGTGTTACTGTGACCACTTTGTGCTTTCTTTTCTGATTCTACCTTTTCCAGGTTAGTCATCAGACACAGCTTCATCATGGGTTTCTGGCAATGGGTGAATTACGAGAGTGGAAGTCTGGGGCCTGTCAGTTTAGGTATTCCAGAGATGATCTGCTACACTTTTGGCTTTTGTTGTAACTGATGATCACAGCTCACCCACGTTGTGTCCAATCTTCAAATGCGAGATGAGACAGGATCGTGTTAGTGTATAGCATGCGTGAAACTGCTGTCATGCTAAGGAACTATCTAATGGGAATATTCTTGGTCAGAGTGGAAATAAATTGTAAGTTGGATGGAAAACTCATAAGGAGCATTGTCTTTTGAACTATAATAATCTGAAAGAGGCATTTGACATTTTATTTATTTTCTCTGATGTAAATTAGAAGTCATGTTTGTCATGGGACATTTTCTAGGCATTTGCTAGATGAATTTTACCGTAAGGGGAATTATAAAAAAAAAAAAAATCACTTTTAATATGTTATACCAAGTATTAATATATGTAGTAACCTTTCAAACATCTCACATTCCCATTTCTGCTATTGATCTAACAGGGGTAAGCAACCTTTGGCGCTCCAGTTGGTGTGGACTACTTCTCCCCCGATGCTTTGCCAACATTATGGCAGTAACAGCATTATGGGAGATGAAGTGACAAAGGTTGTCTACTCCTAATCTAAAAGGAAGCAAAAAATCCAACTAGAGGTGATTGCCAATTGTGCCTCATATGAACTATAATGATATGGTTATCTATCTTTTGCCAAGAAAATAATCTAAAAATAAAATGACTGGAAAAAATATCAATTGAATCCGACACAACAAAATATCCAATTATCACAAGTACCTTAAGATTATCAGTAATTTGTAAATTGAAGGAACATTATTTTAAACTCGTGTCCTAGATATTTCGTGTTAGCCCCATGCTCAAACTCCCATCAGTCTTGGGTGAATATATATTCTATAGTATTCACTTATAAACACAACATACTAAGTTACCAGCCTACTATCCCATACCCCAATATATACTTACAGATTGCTTAGGTACCACTGTGTAGGTATGAAGTGTAAGCTCACTTGCCAACAACAAGGCAAAGACCTGCTTCCCCCACTGTGAACTGTAACTTCTGGAAGTGAAAATGGTGTTACAAAAAAGAGGAGCGACTGCACACCTACTCTTCAAACACCATAACCACTATATATACCTCCAAAATATGTTCACACATGACTATAATGTATTTAAAAACATGTTTCTAACACTCAAGCTGTATTTAAACTGATCCTTGGGTGAGATAGATACAGACTGGCATTTGTCAGTACAAGAGAGTGTTTCAGTGCTAATTGCTAATCAGAGATAATTTCTCTCTAGCGAGACCTTATACAACAGCATAGGGAGTTTCACTGGACATAAATCTATCAGAAATATGATTAACTGAAAAAGAAATTTTCGACATTTAGGTAAAAAAAAAGAGTTGGAAAAATCCCCAACTTGGTATACAGACCGTTTAAATGCATATGTACTGAGGATATACTGAATATGCTGTACTGAGAATATAGACAAAGTTTTGCTGCCTTCTTTATTGCTCCACTAAAAATAAAATGAAAGCTGTCTGGGTTTGTTTGTTTTATGAAACAGGAGAATAACTTCATGTACAATATAATATATATTTTATATTTAACAGTGAAGCCCTTTTCTTTAAAAAAAAATATATATATATAATGATCTGCAGATATAACATGCTAAGTATACCCTGTTTACATATGGTGGTAATATCTGCAGTGGTCTCGCACCAAGTTGTTTTTATTGACTTGCTGAAGTACTTTTTGTGTGAAGAGTATGTTCTCTTTTACGTTAAGTTCGGCCATTCTAAAGCCCGGTATACTTTGTTTGTGTCATCATCATTTTGTGTGTTGGATCATTTAGTAGTTGTGACATTACAACAGGGCCATGGACCCTGCAGAATTGTGTCAACCCATGTTGGCTTGTGAGAGGAGACGGGAGGAAAATGATCACCGCATGGATCAATTTGCCTAGGCCTTCCAAAAGCTCCTGGCCCGTACTGCTCATCTTTAGCCTGATGATCCACCGTTAGGTCCAACCCCTCCTGTTGTGAGTATTCATATTGTGTATAAGGCTCCTTCAATGTCCTTATCATCTCCTCCTCATTTTGGAGGCGATGCTCAGGAGTGTTGTGGATTCCTTATTCAAATGGAATATCACTTTGAATCTCCTGGATCATTCCCTTCTGATGGATCCAAAATAAGTTACTTACTGAACCAATTGACAGGTAAGGTCCTAACTTGGGAGAATCCTCTATGGGAGAGCAAAAAGTCAATTGCTTATGACTATAAAGAATTCCTTGCTGAGTTTAAACTGACCTTTGAGCCAATGGGTAAGGAGAAAACCGCTGCCAAAGCATTAATGCGTATAAAACAAGGCAACAGATCTGTTGCAGAATATGCCATTGAATTTCGTACCCTTGCTTCAGAGATTAACTGGACTAACCTGACTAACCTGACTAACCTAATCACTGCCTTTTCTGAAGGCTTGTCTGATGTAGTACTTGATGAGACTGCTGCGATAGAATTGTCAGAAAAACTTAATGAGTACATCACTTACATGATGCATATTGATATCTGTGATGGGGACAGATCCCCGATGGGGAGAGATCCAGAAATTGAGCTAGACATTCTAATTCATCTCTTGCTCCCCGTTTCTCCACTCCTGTTTTACCTGCTCCATCTCCCCCTCCTGAATCCAAACCCATGCAATTAGGGGTGATGAGACTATCCAAGGCTGAAAAACCTATATAGGAGAAACGACAAAAAAAAAAAAGGACTCTGTTTATACTATGGAGGGAAAAAGGGTCATTTTAGAATAGCTTGTCCTATTCGGCCCGAAAACTTGCACACCTAAGAACCGTCCGGGGACCGGCCTTAGGTGTAATGTATATGTCCCCTGGTATGCCTCTTAACAGTGGAAGATTCAGGGAAGGGGGGGGGGGGCAACAGGGCAATTGCCTCCCTGAGCTAAAAGTGCAGCATGATAGGGTTTCTGATAGTCCCTGCTTTGCTGCTGCCCTTCTATCTACACCAGTTAAAGATAGAAGTGATATGGCAGCAATAGACTCTGCCATGACTCTGTTTATGCCCTGTCCCCTAAGCTTACTCCGGAGGCATGGCTGCTTGAAGGAACTGTCTGCACTGCAGCACATCTCCCACCGGACCAACAAAGAACAGGATTCCCCTCTCCCTGACCCAAGGAAAGCCTCAGGGAGGGGGGAATACACTGTTTTTTTTCTTTCTTTTCTTCAGCCCCCCAAATGCATCTCCTATGCCCTAATACGCCCCTAACATCCACTAAAGCCCCTAACACACCCTTCTAAAGCCCCTTACTACACTCCTAAACCCCCACTACAGCCCCTAACACCCCTACTAATGCCACTTACTCCTTACTACACCCCTAAACACCCACTACAGCCCCTAACACCTCTACTGAATCCTCTTACTCCGTACTATGCCCCTTACTCCTTACTGCACCTCTAACCCCCACTGCAGCCCCTAACACACCTGCTAAAGCCCCTTACTACACAACTAAACCCCCACTACAGCCACTAACCCCCCAGTGGACTGAAAGCTTTTCAGCGTTTTATAGGCTTTGCCAATTATTATCGTAGGTTCATAAAGGGGTTCTCTACTGTTATAGCCCCCATTACTAACCTAACACTTAAGGGTGTAAACTGTCACATATGGTCACAGGAAGCAAAAGAAGCATTTGATAATCTCAAGACCTTGTTTGCTTCTGCTCCCATACTAGTTCACCCTGATACCAACATACATTTTTATACTAGAGGTAGATGCATCAGAAACCAGGGTTGTTGCTGTTCTATCACAGAGGGAAAGACAGGACACCCCTTTGCACCCTTGTGGGTTTTTCTCCAGAAAGCTGTCACCAGCAGAGAGAAACTATGATATAGGCAACAGAGAACTGTTAGCAATTATCCTGGCCTTAAAATAATGGTGACATCTCTTGGGAGGGTTCTAAAGATCCACTTTTGATCATCACTGATCACAAGAATCTGGCTTACCTAGGTGAAGCCAAGAGATTATTTTCCAGACAAACCAGATGGTCTCTGGTCTTGTCACGTTTCAATTTTGTGATTACATACACCACA